CGGGGCTGAGCCTGAGCTGCCTGGGGGAGCCCAGCCCCGGAGCCCTTCCCTCCCCAGGGGCACCAGAGCCCCAAAGCTCGGCCACAGCAGGACCCCAGTGCCCCTTCCCGCCCCTCCTGGAACAGCTCTGGACCTGGGTGAGTTGGTGAGCGAAGCTCTGGCTCCTCTCTGTCCCTCAGGACGCCCAGCACTGACCTCACTGCTCGGAACTGGGGTTTTCCAGAACACTGACACAGCACAGGGAGAAGTTTCAACCCTGACCCGAGGATTTGTCGCGAAGGTAAGAATTTGGAAGTTGTTTACTCCCCAATGGGTAATTCAAACTTGACTTGCTCAGGCCCTTGTGGATCTGCCTCAATGGAAACACTGCAGTGACGGCAAAGATCTGTTCAGAAAATGACATTAAATACAGCAAAGGTAGTTTCTCTCTCTCTCCAGCAGTTTGCCTTTTGGGCAAACTCCGTAATTCTCTGCCTACGGCTTTATTTTACTTGCCCCAGGCAAGTGCTACATCATTCCCATAAATTCTGACTCTGTGTGTTGGGGCCATTCATAAATACATTTCAGGGCATTTTTTGTTACCACAGCAATCAAGCCTCAGCAATCTAAAGGAATATACATTGCACTCCTGGATAATATGCAATATTTATCACCAATAAGATGGTGACTCAGCACTCAATAAATAATATATCAATATAGTCAGTTGCACCATAATCTAAAAACAAGTATAACATATAACTTTGGACAGACTGAGTCATATATATATACATATATATTAAAAGACACATACAATACAAATTGCATACTGCCATCGAAGCCAAGGAGAGCCATCCGTCTGCTCTGCTTTATGGCTGAGATTCAATCAAAACAAAACTCTTGGGCTGGTTTACTCTGGGGTCCTGAAGATTTGTTTGGAATTATAAATGGTTTGCACCTTTATCGCCTGGAACCTGCAAGTCTGAGAGCAAAGTCAAACAGCACAGATAGCTGAGCAAGCCTAGTCTGATTGAGCCATTTTTAAGATTCACCAACTGGGGCCATGATCAGCAAGGGAATTAAAATTACAGCATTGATATGTATTGATCCATATTCCCTGTCCAGGGAATCATTTGGGAAGCCAGGACTGGGGAGTCCCTCCTTAGTCCCTCCTGTGACCTGCACTCCCCCTGTGCTGCTGGGAGCTGCCCAGGACAGGGACAGAGCCCTCCTGCTTTGGCAGAGGGATGGAAGCCTAGGACTTAATTGCTTTTTTTTTTTTTTTGGCTATAAAATCTGATCAAGTGCAGAACTTTCCTCTTGGAAACAAGGGTCAATCCCAAATTAAGATATGCTTTTGGAATTGCAAGGTTTGAACTGATCTGTTTGCAGCAGCCCCAGCTGCACAAGGCATTTCCTATCCATCCCCAAGGGCCTGCGGATGCCCTGCACGGACACAGCGCCTGGGACAGGCCACCAAGGAGCCCCCCCTCCAGCTGGGACACTGCCAACCAGCTCAGGTCCACATTTTGACATGATGCTAAAAAAGCCTTCTGGTTGTTTGAAGCCAATTTCTAAGATCCACTGCTCTAGGGATAAGCGATGCGTTTTCGAGGGGCCGATTTCGCGTGACACCAAAAGGTATTTGTGGGACTCTAGTTAAGGAAAAAAAATTCCCCGAGATGCCACCATTCCTGCTGACAGCAATGGTGACTGTGCACAAAGGAGCAAGCCAAGAACAGCCACGCTGGCTAGTGCAGCACTACACACAAACCCACCCACGAATGCAACTTCTACCAAGGGATTTCTCAGCGTCAGAGGTGTGCGAGGCACTTCAGAGGAGGAAAGGAAACACAGCTGACAGTGTCCCATGCCCACGGCGGGGAGTTTGAGGGTACAGAGTTCTGTCTCCAACAGCAAAGACTAACAGAAAGGTGACCTTGCACAGTGATTCCATAAAAAGGATGCTCCGACAGACCTGAAGAGTCGAGCCAGGGAGAGCCCCAGGTCTGTTCCCCGTTTGTCAATCCGGACGTAGCAAAGCTTTTCTGGAAGTACAAAACACGCTGGGACGCAAAGGAAGCTCTACGAAGATGCAGCTACCTTGTAGTAGGTTACTAATTGCAAAACTTCTAAACTCTTAAAGCCCATAGGACATACTGCAGTACTAAGGAGCGTAGAATTCTATTCCTTCTCTCGAGGTTGCCGTGATTTTGGCACTTAACTACACCTACACAAAAAATTTAGTGCAATAATTTTCCTGAACATGCACGTTCATATCTGGTACAGAATAAAGGGTTCAATGGGAGAGAAAACAAAGCAGCATTCCACAATCTCACTCCAAAGGATTCAGAGTTGGACTCTGGGGAAGGAGACCACCACGATGAGTCAGTTTGTGTGACAGACACCGGGACTTTGAAAAAGGAAATGGAATTTTACCCAAGTACTGCAGAAGACCACTGCATACAGTATACCTGGTCCTGCTGTAAAACATCTTGTAAACAGTTCATAAAATCTTCATCTAAAAGTAAGGCATAAGGCACACCAGACATGTTGGGGGCACTAAGCAATACTGAAAGCAGTAGCATTTGAAACCTTTAACTCAGACAAGCACCTCACATGGAAAGGTACTTTGGTTTGCACTCGGAGAGAGGGGCCACCTGCAGCTGCAGCACCCCTCTGTGGCACCCAGCAGCCCCCTCGGGAGTGGACATGATGTGACATGAACGGGACCTTCATCAGCACGGGGTAAAGCCAAGTTTGCCATCCACCCTGCACAGAGCAGTGCTTCCTGCAGGAGCAGCTCTGCTCCCACCCCAGGCACCTGCTGCACTGCCAGCCTGTAGTGTCCATCACCCAGCAGACCCTAAGAGGACAAAACGGACCTAGAGTTCTACTAAAGATTCCTGGTTTCTCAGTCAATGGAAAAGATGCAAATGACCGTTCTGGTAGGAACTGAGCTACTCCTGGGTTTGGAACCACAAAGTTCCCCAATTTCGTAACTGTCAAAAAGTGACAAGCACGGAAACAAAAGGTATTTGAAATGAAGAGATGCAAAAAAGCACGAGATTGTCCTTTTCCAAAGCCTTTCCTGTTTGCATCGCACCCATCAAACTGAAGGTCATTCCTACACCATTGCCTGGACATTACATTAAATGCAAATTACTGTAATGTTTTGTGATTGTTATAGTGTTAATCGATGGCTTGAAGCTGCCTTGGAAACAATCCAAGGCAGATCCAGCTAAATATTTTTCCATATAAATTTCTTTATAATTCATTTAAATGAAGTATCTCAATACGTAGAAGAATATCTGGAACTTTTCTATTTAGTACAAATTCTGCAATAATAAATCTGTAGTTGCCATTTATTAGTCGACTCATAGGCATTAGGCATGAGAAGTATGGTGTCCCTACTCGTTAGAACCTATCAACCCTAGTTCCTTTTACAGGCTCTACCACCACAAGACATTACAGAGTAACAAAGCTCACAAAGTACTTAAATAAAGTGTCTAGGTTTAATTTCTAAGTACTCAAAAGGGGAAATTTAGGGAAGAAGAAATAGCTAAAACCAGCCCCAAAGGGGGCTTTTCAAAATTAAAATTAAAAAAAAAAATTAAAATAAATAGGATTTAAACTGACTATTCATGTATTGTGACCGGAATCCCAATGATCTATCCATGACAGATCAGCGAAACTACAACTTTTACGTAGCAAATTTTCAAATATTTAAATAACTTAAACCGGGAATACTGGAGAAGTCCATGAACCAGCTGATTTGGGGTTAAACACAAAACACAAATGAGGATGGGAGACATGGGAAAGCATTCCTTGCTCTTAGTGTCAACTAAGCAATGTGTTATGGCAGTCTTCCTTATTGACATGACACAGTGTTGTGGAGAGGAATCAGAGGCAGCTGAAGAGGGGCAGGGCCGGGCCGGGCTCCTCACTTGGCGTCCAGGCGCAGCCAGTGCAGGCCCTGGCGCGTGTAACGCACCAGCTCCGTCATGATGCTCGTGTTAAACACCAGGGGCCCCATCACCTTGTCCAGTTCTGCAAAGAACTCTGCAACAGCACAAACACACGTTAAAGGAGCACACCGGGCTGTTGTGGTGTGTTGCAATGTCCTGTTTTACCTTCTCCCTTCCCCCTCGCCCCTCGCTGAGTGTGCCCTGTCAATCAGGCTAACATACCAGCAAGGCGTCGTGTGATTGGTCCCTCAGGCCTGGGGGACCTCAGGCCTGGGGGACATTGGCCCGTATAGGTGTCCCTAGTCCCTTGAGACCCTGCCCCTTCACCTGGTTGGTGGCTCACCTGTCCCCTCCCCTTCCCCTGCCCTGAGCTTAAAAGGTTAATGAGACCATGTGGCCTCTATTCTGTTGGAGGAATTGTCCCAGTGCAGACCTCTGCACCCATGGAATAAACATCTGGATATAACCCTCTAGCAGAATCCACTCCTTCCTTCTCTTCACCATCGCCAGAAGCTCTCTCTCCTGAGGTAACGGAGTCCTGACAAGCCTGGACTTGCGTCTGTGCCCCACTGCACTCTCCGCCAGCCAAGGTATCTCTGGGGTAAAACACCACAGTGCTGCCTTTGGCCCAGCAGTGAGGGTCAGAACTGGCCCAGGCACCATCTAACTGGTTATATTGGGATTACCGGGCAACCACACCCAGCCCCAGGTCCCTGCAGCCATGGCTGGGGCGGAGAGAAAGGCAATGAGGAAAGGTCATTCCTAATCTGTGTCTTTACTCTTCTGCACAAGACTGCTTGGAAACAACCAAACCATTGCCAAACTTCTTGGTTTTCCCCTAAAACTTCTATTTCTCTGGTTGAAAATAATGAAACTATGCCAAACTTCCTTTACTAAAGAATTTCAGAAAGGGAAATGCATCAAGATCCTCTTCCTACACTGAGCGTTTCACAGGAAACACAACAAAGATTTTTATGTCACAACTCCCAACACCATCCTGACAACCACAACACCCAGCCTGGGGTATCCCTGCACCCCAAGGTGTCACTTTCCCCCTGATTTTGCAGAGGTTCAGCACCCATTGCTCCATCAACAGAATCCCAAAGCCTGGGAGTGTTCCAGCCCCCTCTGGAGGTTTCCAGCCCCCCGAGGCAGCCCTTACCTTTCTGCTCTCTCGAGAGCTGTTCTGCTTGTTCCCAGATTTCCGTGGCATAGAGGAAGTTGGAGGTGACCTGGACATAGCTGGCAGCCATCTGGTGGATGCGCTGCGGGATCGTCACCGAGGACCCGCTCCCTGAAGGGTTGGCTGCCCCGGAAGAGTAATTTCCTGAATTCCCTGGAGACAGCTTTGGAGACACTGGAGATGGCATCCCAACAGGTTTGCTGCTCGCCCAGAGGGCAAGATGGAAAGGCAGAAATGCACCAGCTTCAGACACACCATGCTCTGAGATGTCCCCTAAGATCCCTCTGCCCACACTCAAGGTGTGGGATGGGAAAACATTCCCTTGACACACCAAAAATCAGGACTTGCCCTTCAATAAATGGAAATCTCAAGCTGGGAACTGCTGAGGATCCTCCAATAATTATTTATAGCTTACAAAACCTAATTACCAAATATCAGCATCTCAGAATTCAATAAAATCTTCAATTCACTGCTTAAATGAACCTTAAAAAAAAAATTTACAGCTGCCTGGTAACTCCACTGCCAGAATATTGCATTGTATAACATTATTGCAGATAACACAATGGAAATCTGAAGTGGCCCCACCCTTAAATTCATGGAATAATTTATCAAAGGTTCATTATTGGGTTTAAAAGAGCAGAAGTAATTGCTAAACTATGGAACAGAGAATCCTGCAAGTGCTGGTAACCTCTGGCCTTGCAGCACTAACAAAGCTCTTGTTTGGGGGCAGAAGCATTAAATTAAACACCAAAACTCCCTGACAAACCCTGCAGAGCTGCAGCACCCCCCTCCACCATGACAATTACACAAAAAATGGATCAAAGCCCACACCCTTCAAATAACCACCCCAAAAGCTGCTCCCTGAGGCCCCTGGCACACAGGAAATGCAGAAAACCTTCTTTAAGTTGAGAAATTGAAGTAACAGCTTTTACCACTCACCTTCCCATACCAGGTGATGGTGCTTGAGAATTATTGTAGCAATTCTGTGTGGGGGAAAATACACATTTAACTTGATTTATAATTATACTTTCACTAGTTACATTTTATCTGCTTGTTTACTTGGGTTTTTTAAACCAAGTTTTTTTTCATAGTTGTACTTTGAAGTAATGTTCTCAATAATACCACAGTAAAGTGTCATTTAGGGAAATATCCTTTTTTACTGATAGCCAAGACACAAATTAAGGGGTTATTTTAGCAAAACAAACAAGCATTAGTCCATTGCCCCCTTATGGGAACATTTGAGAATTTGAGATGTTTTCAGCCCTTTAACAGAAAGAATCTGTTATCACTGGCAGTGAACAATTGAAGATATCCCAAATCTGAGAGACTGGTTATGTGATGAGCCTGTTTCCTGTCAGCATTGAGAAGCTTCAGAATCAGCTGCACAGAAATTCGATAAATTCATGGGTAATTTCTCTAAACCCAGGGAAACCAACCTTCTCCTTGAAGCCTACTACATGTATTAAAGAAGATCAAATTAACAGAGCTGTCATGCCAGGACCAGCAGGGTCATGGTTATTAAAGCTCTGCCCAGCTTTAATAAACCTTCAAGTCCAGTTCTAAACAGGTGCTCACATGCAGCAGTCTGAAATTGGATTTGGGAACTTGAAGTGATGTAGAGCTTCCACACCATTAGGTTTTAATGTTCAGAAAATACAGATGCAATTACCTTCAGATGTTCAGTCAGAGTTTTGGAGTATTTCAATGCACTTTCCTTTTTCAGTTTGAAAAGCCTCAGGTACAGCAGAGCTTGGCACCGAAGGCTGCCCAAAGACAGAACAAATCAGTCACAATTAAAGTCAGGTTTATCTCAACTCAGTGAATTTCAACAATCTAATAGCTGTGGTCATGATGTTCTCTCTGCCAACTCAGATCTCAAGTTGTAACTCAACCAGAAAACCCACAACCACCTTGAAATCCTGAAGGGAATCCAGAACTGGAACAGCTCCGTGTGCCTCGAGCTGGAACTGAACTCTCAGTGCTGCTGCTGGGCTTGGAGACCCCAGCCAGCCCAGGCAAGGGGTGCATTCACTGCTCCCTGTGCCAGGACCCCCTGACCGTGCCAGGGCCTGCTCCCCACCTTCTGCAGCCTCCCCCTCAGCCCCCAGGGCCAGCCCAGGTGTGATTTAGCCCTGGCTCAGAGCTCAGGAGGCACCTCCTGCTCTCACCCTGCAATGCTGCTGGCCCTTGCTGGCAGCACCCCCATTTACAGCCATCAGACCCAGTGAATGTGTGTGCACAGCCAAGTGGAAATCTCCTGTGTTTGGCACAGGAACACCCAAGAGCTCAGTGCAAAGCAGCATTTTGGGCAGGTTACAGATGTGAAATGCAGGAGGGCACTGCAGGGAGTCCCAGCACACTCACCAAAGCACTGCCAGCCTTTTGTCTGCAGCCGTGGCATCTGGGGCCAAGTAATTCTTCAGTTTCATAGTGTACCTGCAGAGAAAGGCAGCAAATCGGCCCCAGAACAAAACCCACCTTCAGTTATCATTCACAAAACACTCATGTTCTCATGAATTTCCAGTTTCAGCTGTCCCCACTGCTTCAGGAACATCTCTCAGCCCAGAATAAAGCATTGACTCAGCAGTAAGCAGAATAATTCTGCTCCTTATGGGTCACTCATTGTAGAGGGACTTGAAGCCTCAGCAGAAATCACCTCCCCCCACATTCCTGGAAATGCTTTAAACTCCAGCAACTGGAAGGAACTGGTCACTGCTCCAGTGTTACTGGGAATGACAACAGATCTCAAAAACTGGGGGCAAAACCTCTGATTCCCAGAGCTCCCCCACCCAGCTGCCCCTGCAGGAGCCCTGCAAAGCTTACTTGATTAATTCCACAGTTTCTGAATACATAGGGAACGGGGACTTGGATTCCTGAGCATTTTTCTCCAATGCATTCCCACACTCAATGAAGGACACGACAGCATCCAGGTAGTACACGGCCTTCTCGAACCTGTCCGACTGCAAGGGAGGGAGAACACTCAGAGCAGAGCAGAGCAGTCAGGGCCAGGAGTGCCAGCCCAGGGGCAGGAGCGTGGCACAGGCTGCAACCAGCCCCAGCACACACTGGGGGGACACTGCACATCCACTCACCAAAGCATCTGCATTGTGTTTCAGCTTCTTTGCTTCCTGCAAATAGTGATCAGCTGAGTACGTCCTGCAAGAGAGGGCATGGCCTGAGGCACTGGAGCCAAACATTGGCACTGCCTTTTGTAGCACAGCTCCTTAATGCTGCCACATCTCAGGGCTTTTTCTGCTCTATCTCAAGCTACACTGTGATAAAACTGTTTAAAGGAATCTGTTAATTTATTTAACTAAAAATTGTTAAAAGTAGTTTCAAGTTAATTCTGTGGTTTCAGGTAATTTCAACAGTATTTCAAGCAAGTTCTTAAGCAGAAAGTTATTTTGCATTTGGTGCAAACATAATTTCATCTGTAAAGTGAATTTAAAGAAGTCCTTTCAGAGCAAGCTGACACCTGAATTGGCCCAACTGAAACCTCAAGTCTGCACAAGATGGTGAAATACTTGTTTTACTTTCTTTTCAAGGTATTTTTTTGACAAAGAGCTTATGTGTAACATCTTCTGTGGAGCAGAATGCCAGCTCTGCTCCATGGGAGCTGCCTGTGCTTGAGATCCAGAGCCCCCAGAGGGAAAGGGAATTTTCTGTCCTTACCTATCATCAAAAACAAGCTTTGCTCTCCTCGACTTCACACTTTCCGTGGCCTGAGCAGAGGCAGGAGGGCAGCTGGAGGAATTGTTCAGGATCTTTTCCTGGAAGGGAAATCCATGCCATGATTACCAGAAGAGCATTTGCTGTATAAATTCCCCATGGCTTCCCCATTCCCTCCAGGCAGGACAGGCTGCAGGAGCTCTGGGAATAACTCAGCTCCCATAACTCAGCCAAGGCTCTCCAGACACACCAGGGGCAGGAAATCCCTCCCTCCATCTCACCTGTCACTCTTTCTAAATCCTGCTTTTCTACTCTAACAGAGATGAGGAGGATTTGGAGGATTTCTATCAACAATACTCTCTCTGAATGCCTTTGCCTTGAAAAACTCACACAGGAGTAGTTACTCCTTTGAGGAAGACATGAGTAAGCACACCTGAGTATAAAACAGCAAACATATCACAAATTAACAGCTGGCTGGGGGGCATTTGTATTTTTTAATTCCATCACATCTATCTTCCCAACCTAAATCTCTTACAGACCGTTTTCTGCACCATCTCCATAACCATGTTTTCTCCCCTCCAGCCATGGAGAGCTCTGTGAATTGCTGAGCTGGAGCTGCAATAACCTTTCTACAATGTCATAAAAAGAGAGCCAGAGCTTCCCATGCCAGCAGTGAGCATGGGCTGAGCTCCTGCTGTCTTCTGAAACCAGGACAAGCTCTGTGTCTGCTCTGAGGAGACCAGAGCAGCCTCACAGCTCCCTTTCCAGCTTTCTAGGGATGTTCTCATTAACCACCTAAACAATGAACAAGCAGCACCAGATTCCTCTACTAACACAGGAGTCTGGCAGGATAAGCATTCATATTCCATGATCTCTCCAAGGTGCCTTCTCATTTATGGCCTTCCAAGGCACTGGGGCTCTATGACAGGAAAAAATGCACATCCCACACTAATGATGTTTAAACTGAACTGGAAGTGGTTGTTTAAATCAAACTAAACAAAAGCAGGAGGCAGCCTCAGAACCAGCCCTTTACCTTGGCTTCCTTGGCACTGCTGGACCCCTTCCCCTCTGTCTTCTTCTGCTTGGAGGAGGAGCTGCTCTTGCTGCCACTGCTGCTCTCCTTGCCTGGGTTGCTGCTGGATTTTAGGGATGAGGACTGACTGACTGTTCTCTTCCTGGAGCTGTGCTCCTGCTTGGAATCCTTCTGCAGGGCTGGGGCAGCAGGGGAGGGCAGCAAATCCTTCTCTTTAACAGCACTTGGCTTTGAAGACCTGGAAAAGAGGAACAAATTCAGAATTTGGGTTTCTTCCTTAACAAACAAAACCAAAACAAAAAAAAACAACCCCAAAAAAAACAACACACAAAAGACTGATTTTTACATCTCTAACTAAACACCTTTTTTCCCCCCAAGATTTTTACTGTCAGACCCAGCTTTGGAGAAAAGCAGAACACTCCTCTCAGTGAGTAGGTTTCTCCAAAGCCAGATTGAACTTGTTTTCACCATTTTATTTGTTCTGACCTGAAAGCACAGGCAAAGCCAGACAAGTCCTAACCATAAAACCCCACCCCTGCACCAGTTCTGTCCAAAACCCATCCCAAAGCCTCCCAAATTTCAGCAGTGGGAGCCAGTGCCAGCGCCAGGCTGTCCAAAACCCATCCCAAAGCCTCCCAAATTTCAGCAGTGGGAGCCAGTGCCAGCGCCAGGCTGTCTGTGCACACCAGGCAGCCAATGGCTCCAGGGAAAGATGCTGCAGATAAAGCTGTGGAAGCAGGCAATGGGAAACTTCCCCAGCACAGCCTTTCAGGGCACTCTCACTTGGCTGCTGAGCCATGCTGCTGGCTATTCCTGCCCTCCCACCATTAATATTTTTACACATTATTTCTGGAAAAATCAAATTTCATTTGATTAAATGTCCTTTAGAGAACTGCACTGGCAGTCAGGCAAACTGCAGAAAAAATTCAAATATCAGGTAAAAATCAAAACTATCCATTCATTCTACAGCTGTTCCCTGACAAACAGTAAGACACTGTTTAATTCAGAAGGGGCAAACAAAAGTTGTAGCATCCAAACTGCTGCAGCTTCTCACACCTCTGTAATTTGGCAGCTGCTCACTGGGCAGGAATATTTTCCATGACACAATTATACCAGTTTTCATTGCCTGAACTGAAACAGAAGTTTCAAAATGCAGTGGAAAAAAGCTTAATCTCTCCTGTGGATTAATACTGACCAAGAAATCAACCAAATAAAGGCATAACAGGTGTCACAAAAAGCATGGGGAATCTAGAAATAACATTAAACAATGGGACTGATCTCCTCATTCTGTATTACCTTGCTTTGGTATCACTCACACTTTTCTTGCACTAACAAACCAAGGAGATGGGAGGAAAATCCATGGATCCAAAGCTCAATGCCATCAGCTTCCCAAAGAAAGTCAGATCAGGAGTTTATTCCCAGTTTAAAACAGAGAATTACCAGATGGGGTTAATTTAAAAGCACAGATTTTGATTCTAGACCAAACCCAAGCCCCACTGTGTATCAGAGAAAACCAGGAAGGAAATATTCTCTTCACAGGAGGGGTCACCTCATTTTCTTAAGGCACACAATTGTCCTTGGCCAATGCTTTTGGGGATGGAAATTCATTTCCACCAATTGCTTGTAGAAGCTCTGAAGTAAATTTGTTTGAAGGGTAAGAAAAAATGAAATTTTACCAATTATTTGAGGAAAACTTGGGGTGGGAGAGAGGAGAAGGGGGGAAGATGAGCACCATTCTCTCCACAGGCCCCCTGACCCTCAGAGCAGGAAGAGCAGATACTCACTCCCTGCTGCTGGAATTCTTGTGTCCTGAGGGAGCTTTTTCTTCCAGTTTCGTTTTCTTGCTTTCACTGGCTCTGTTTTCATCCTCGTTCTGAGCAAAGCAAATGAGAAAAACATCCAGCAAAGATCCACATTTACACATCACTGAGAGTGGAGTATTTCAGAGACAGCCCTGAGCAGGTGTTTCACACTTAATACAGAGCCCAAAACCATGGCCCATCCTCATCCTCACAAATCCTTACCAAACCTTGACATTGGAACAGAATGAAAATCCCAGTCTGGCTGCTAAATTACAACCTGATAAAAACAGCAACTGCCAAGTTGTTCATTTTAGCACAGATAAATTACAACCATGAAATCTCAGGAAAATCTGCCAAAGGCTTTGGCAAGATCAGGAGACAGATTTGATGTTGTGGGGTCTAAAGAGGTGTCTGATCAATGTCAGGAAAGGGTAAAAATCTAATCAGTCTATTAAAGTCAGCTCAGAGATGCTGAAGACTAAGTATTGATATCAATTTAATCCACAGGTCACAGGGTCTTGGAGGTAAATTTCTAAGATGTCCTCACTGAGCACTGGAGGGATCAATCATCCAGTGAGTAAGAGGGAAAATGGGGCCTCACAGAATAAATCATCTGGTAACAAACCCCAGTTTTGTTACTGATGCTGCAAATCTGAGAACTGTGATCAAGAAAACCCAGGAAATTAGGAAGTCAAGTGGAGGCACTTGGGTTTGGAGCACAAAGTGAAACTGCAGGTGGGGAAAGGGTTCTGTCCTTGCCTCACCCGGGTTCCCATCCCCTCAGGAAGCAGCAGAGCAACCTGAGGCTTCACAACATTTAACCAGCACTGGTTAAATGGTTCCTGGGATAAATCCTGGATTTAACTGGTCTCACCAAAGCTTTGTGGTTTGGATATGAGAGCACAGATCTTTAATACTGTAATTCCAAATTTGTGCTTAAAGGCTAAACTGGCCAAAGAGAGAGAAGTCAGGGAATTCAGAGCCACTGGAACGTGTGAGTGCATTCCCAGGAACATCAGGAGCTATACAGCAACACCTGCAAAAGTAATTGTTCACTGCAGTGGGCAGAGTTATTCCCCTTTTACAAAAGCAGCTCATTTCTCATGCCAGAGAAAACAGGAATCTCAGTTAGGAGCAGGACAGGATAAATCTGTTTGCAGGTACATCTCAGGGCTCCTGCAGGACACTGACTTCAGCCAGGGATCCAGTTTACTTTGGTTGCTCAGTAGGAAACTGCTGTAACTGGGATGATCCATCTCCTCAAGTGACTCTGGGACTGATCTGCCACAATCCTGGGGCTGCAGATGTCAACAAAGCCCCCAACCCCTGCCAGATCCCTTGGACAGGGTAAAATGGAGTTGTCAGAGGGACATCAGAGCAGCACAGGGATTTCTGAATCCTTCCCCAGGGCCTCATGGCCCTACACTCCTGGAAACCAGACTCCCTGGATCACTGAGCCCAGCTGACAGCCCCAGCTTTGCCCTTTATACAGGGTCCCTGTGCTGAGCTTTCAAAAAGCAGTTTAAAATTACACCGGCATTGACTTCTCACATTCCCCCCTCCAAGAGTTTCCCCTCTGTTCAGTTCCCCCACTGACTCCTGTCATTTCACTGCCCCCCAGCCATTCCTGCCTCTTACTTCTAGCTGAAAAGATGAAATGCTTTTGGGAAATATTCAGTATTGTTATGGAGAGATGATCCTGCTCTCAGTAAAGCAGCACCTGAGATGTTTGCTGCTGCTGCCATGGCCCAGGCCCAGTCCTGCCCCATCCCTTATCTTGGCAATGGGCATTTCCATGGCTCAGGGAGCTGATCCAGCTGAGAACTGACTTTTGGGGTTTTTTTCCCAGGTGGATTTCCCATTGGCTCAGCTGCCTGAGCTGGCCTGCAGAGCAGCAGGGGCTGGTTCCAGGGAGGCAGGAGAGGGCTGGATGCAGAGCTCAGAGGCACAGATCTGTGATCTCCCTGAGCTCTGGCTACAGGGCTGACGCTCCCACAGGGGTTTTTGTAAGAAAATCCAACAATCTCCTGTACCAGCACAGGGACAACCCAGGGGTTCTACACACGGCAGCACAGCCACTCCTGCCCAGCTCAGCCCCCGCCCTGAGCTGTCACTGCACTCTGGGCTGCCCAGGGGCTGAGGGGACAGGGAGCTGCCCCCAGAGGCCTCACCTGTTTGTGTTTCCTCTTGCCTTTGGTGGAGCCCTTGTCTGAGGGCTGTTTCTGGCCCTCCCGGCCGTGTTTCTCCGGGGCGCTTTTCTTCTCCGCCTTGGCTCCCTCGGGGTCCTTGTAAGGCTTCCCTGGTATCCTGGATAAGAGGCTCAGGTCAATCTTCACAATGAGTGGGTACCTTTCATCAGGATCACTCAGCGGGGACAGAAGCTCTTTCTCTTCCATAGGAGAGAACATTCTTTGCCGGAAAAAGCTGTCATCCTCCTCCATGGAAGATTTAACAGGAGTCCTATTGCTCTCAGAGTATTTGGGTGTTTGTGAGGAAGGAGGCAGACTCTCATTTTCATCTGAATCAGAGGATGAGGTATCTGTTTCGATGAATTCCCTGGATTTCTGGGCAGATTTGCTCGAAGCCTTGTATTTCTTTTTCTCTGTTGTAGGTCGAGGGGAAGACTTGGGCTCCTTCTTTATATTGGGTTTCCTGGAGCCTTTGGTGGCTGCCTTGTGCCTGTTTGAAGGGATGTTTGTGGCCATGTCTACTGGGGTTTCGCTTTCTATTTTAAGACCTCCTCTGGGCTCTTCCACAGATGTCTTTTCTGCTTTCTTGGGCTGTTTTTTCCCTACAGTCCTCCTCTGAGTCGAGCTGTCGCTCTGGGCAGGTGATTTCTGCCTCCCACGACTGCTCTCCGAGCCCTTCTGGGTGGGTTTGGAATCTCTCCCTGGCGTAGAAGAAATGGAGTCCTTGGATCCACCTTGATCAGTGTACCCACTCCCTGTACCCTGATCCCGTCCCTCTTTCTTGTAGCCTTGGGAAGAAGGGATATTGCTGTCCACGGAAGAAGCTGGTGACACTTTATGGGAATTCACTTTGTTCAGCCAGTTATCCAGCTGCCACTTGTTTGTGGGCGGTGGCTCTGGCTAAAAACAAAGTAAAAAACAGAGTTAGATAAAATAGTTCCCATTTCTTTCATCTTTTCCACGTGGTAGCTATATAATGCTGCACACCAAAGCATGAGGTACACCCAAAACCTGACAAATGAATGAAACTATAAATAAATGAAATACAGGCCCAAATAACACAATTTTTCCCTTTGTCTGCTACCAACAGGCAATATTTGATGCCATGGTTTTTTAGGGGTTCTGATACCATATCTAATTCTGCTCTTCAACAGACAACTGGTGGTAAAAACCACTTCAAACCAAACATCAGATGTGGGCTTATCTAGAGCACAGGAACTGCAGCACAGCAGCCCAGCCTGACAGCGAGCTGGTGTTGGTGTTTGTTCTCTGACAGTGAGAATCTCCCAAAGCTCAGAGTGCTGAGAGCTGCAGGGCAGTCCTGGCTGTGTTACCTCGGGGGAGGCGCTCTGGGAGGGCTCGTTGGCCTCGCTGTCGCTGGAGCTGCTCTCGCTCTCCGAGTCGGAGCCCGAGCTGCTCTCGGAGCCGCTGTGGCTGCTCGAGTCATCCCTGGAGTTATCTGCGCCCTCACTGTTGTGCTGGGAAGGCTCAGAATTACTGCAACACAAGGAGGGAAAGCAAGCATTACACCCGAGGCACAGGTCCATCCTTCCAACCCTTTCATTAGAAGTAACAGAATGTAACATTTTCATCAAAGTTCAGGAGAAAATTCAGTCTATGTGAATGCAGTTCAGCCTCTGGGTGCTGCCCCTTCCCAAAGTGGTCAGTCTCATTTGCAGGAAATAGTTAATATTATGTTTATTACCATTTAATCACTGATTAAATTCTCATCACTTTTGCTTTAGTACAAGCCAAAGGACAAAGATGAATTTTGGAAACAAGACCAAGCCAGGAATGCTGACTGGGCTGAACTTCCCCATGTCTGCAATCCCCCAGGAATTCAATTCCTACCTTCCAGGTGTGCTCCTTGGCACGGTCTTATCGCAGTCCTGCAATTAAAAAAAAAGCATGAAGCTTCTAGAAGCTATTTTAAGCTGTATATACAATTAAATTGCAAAACCTTGGTTTAGAGCCTTTCATTTTTAAAATATTCATTATTTGCAGTAGTTGAAATTTATCTGCATTTTCCTTATACAGCAAGAGAAGCAGTGTTATTTTCTCTAAGTTTTCAGCCCAAATCTCTATATTCTGACTCCATTTGTGAGAGTTCCCATTTCTACCACTAATTAATATCTTGCTTACATCTTTCTGAATCAGCATTTCACAATGATTTTCCTGAGATGCCCAGGGTAAGTGGAGTTCACCAACTGCAAGTTTTCCACTTGAAGAAAATCAAGTACCAGAACTGAGTAGAAACCCCAGAGCAGTGGGGGTTACTGGGCAGCACAGACACATATTTTATTTTTATTTAGCATGTTAAGTGCCAGTCTGGCAGAAGCTGCACAAAGTTAATCCTGGAAAGAGTAAGAAAGAAACTTTTTGATAAATACAAAGGTGCAGCTGTATTTCCAGGGACTCCTTGTCACCCCAAACATCCCAGGACACCAACTCACACAGATGTTCACACCATGAGCTCTGTAGCTGGGATGGCAGAACACAAAGGGGTTTTTATCTTTAATTAAGGAGCCACTATATAAGTTTTAAAGTGAATTATTGTAATTTGATTTTCAGAGAAGGCCCATGTGAAATCAGTTAATAAGAATTTCTAGATAAAAGCAAACTGTTTCTACAAAACACCACATTTCAATTTGCACAAAATTTTCCCCAAGGTTCCATTTAGGAATGCCTGAGGTTTGTCTAAAAACATTGCAGGAGATTTCAGTTCCACAGATCTCCTGCTAAGCTGCCCAGGCTGCTGCTGGGCCTCTGCTCCCTGCCCAGGGCTGCCCCTGGATGAGTGCAGAGAATTTTGGGAAGCACCTGAGGAACTTACCTGCTCTCCATCGCTGTCTTCACTACTGCTGAGCTTTAAGTCATCTTTCAACATACTAAGGGAAAAGGGAGAAAGTGAGACAAGTTTTTCCAAGTTCTTTAATTACTTCCAAAGCATTCTGCTAGGTTTCAACATGGCACTGTTTATCCTGCAGAGGCTGCGTGGGTGAGAGCCACCAGACAGCACTCACACATTTCAGGGTTAAGAATGGAGAGTTGAGTCATTCTCAGAGAAGAATGAGGATTCAGGTACTTTGGCTCCTGAGTCCATTCTCTTAAATGCAGAAAGGAAATCTGACACAATTTACTGCTGTGGGAGGAGGTAACTTGTGTTATGTGCAACTCCTTACACACAATGGGCAAGGATTGTGTTTGAGATGGAGGAAAGCAAGGCAGCCCCAGTGGCTGCTTCCTGTCCCGTGGCAGCACTGCAACTGTCCTGAGCCATCATTAATTACTGCACCCAAAGCCATAATTACTGCTGCTAGTCACACACACGCAGCTCCACACACTGGGAATGCACGAGCACAATGAAAACACACAGCAGGGCCTTTCTGATTAGTGGAAACATTTGATTATAAAAAGAAAACATCTTACTCTGTCTGGTTCGATTCACATCTGTGGAGAGAAAATGAGAAAGAATTAAAAGTTTGACTCTCCTGGGTTTCCCAGTGAGCTGCTCTGCTGATCTGAACAGCAACACAACCTCTAGGAGCCCACTCCTGAACTCCTGCTCACTGCTACCATTTTACAAATGATGCATTTATCTCCTTTTCAAGGGTTTTCTTTACCAGATCATAATCACTTAAAATATATATTTAAAGTTGTTTTGTCACAATAAACTGGTAAATATTTATTTTTATGGGCAGATTTATTTGGAAACCATCTTTTAACTGCATATCACTGATTTTTAAGTCTGAGAAAGGTGGACCACAGCCATGCAGAACATTCCAGCTGCCTCTGAGTTTTTCTGTGTTACTGAGTCTGTGTTCAAAACATTTGTCAGGATTTAAAGGAGAGCAGAACAAACTTCACAAGATCCCAGACCCAGTTTTCTGTCTCCTCCAATCCAAAACCTTTCCTAATCCGGGATTTGTGCAGTGTCCAGCTGCCAGCTCTGTTAGTCCCATCCCATGCTGATGCCCTTCCTGATTCCCAAGCCAATTCCAAGGTCCAGACTCCTGCTCCCCTCCTGGCAGCTGGCAGGAAAGCCAAGGAGCAGAAAGGCAGCTCAGGGTGGTTTTTAGTCACTCCAGTGAGCGATATTTGGTTTATTGTCCCAAGAAACCTTTCCCTGCCAGCCAAGGAGAAGGATGTTGGAATGTCACTCACATTCTACCACACACCTTCTCCTCAAACACAACTTTTGTTTGTGAAATGTTTTCTCAGCAGGCACTTACGATTTGGATTGATGACCATTGGAGGTTTTGGATGAGGGATTGTATCGTTCTAGGAGGAGAAAAGAAGAAAAGCACAGCTGAAAACTCAGGCACAGCAGCAGAATTCCCCCAAAGCTGCCACAAGGATGGACAAAGCAGGGCCCTGTGAGGGGACAGGAGGGAGCAGCACCAGGGGACAGCAGGTACCACCTTCCCCAGGCTGAGGGAGGGAGGATGCAGAGCAAAACACCAAATACAGCAAATTACTTAACCAAGAAAATAGAGGAAATCATTAAAATCATTGCTGCGTGAACCAATACACAATAATTTGTTATTAATGGTGTGGAAAACTGTTCTGCTCTTAGCAAGATGAAATTCTTGCCTTAGACAGGCAGGATCTGGGACACAGATCCATCTGCTGAGCTCTGACTGCTCCAGCATCCCCACACACACAGCTTCTGATGGATGAGAACCCCACAGCCCAAAATCCAACTCTCACACTAATTCTGACAGCAGGAATACGCCCTGATAAATTCCCTTCCCTTTTCCTTAATTCTGGTAAATAACTGGGTGCAGCTCAACAAAAACAAGAACTGAGGCTGTTTATTTAAATCCTCCAGAAAACCCAAGCAGGCACAGGAAACTGGCTCTGTGTTTAATTAACCTTGGCTCTTCTTTTCCACACCTAAAGATCAGCTGCTCCCATAACGTGAGCCTACGGTTTAGCATCATGGAATTAAGCTTGAATTTGTTTCCTTAATTCCTCACTGTATCAGGTGTTCAGATTAAGCTGCTTGTGAATATCTAAGAATAAACCATTCTTCTTTTACTATTTAAGCTGTTTAATCACTTCAAGAGGAGTGGAAGGACTTTTGGAAGGCAACAGCACTAATTTAATTCAATTTTACCTGATATTTACTGAGTTTCATGCTCATTTCACTAATATTCAAAATAATGACAGTTTAAAGAAATAAAAGCTACTTTTTTCCAAAGTCCAAAAGTACAAGAAACTCAAGGACAATAGCATGTGATTTAAGTTCTTGACCAGTTCTCTCTCTTGACTTTAAAATGTCAAAGTAACAATAAATGGTGAAACTGCCATGTGCTTTTTCTACTGAAATAAAAGCAAAAGTTCTCTTCTGGTTTCTAATATGTCCCTAAGCAGGTAGTTGGGTTTTTTAAGGTGTTTTGGTTTAGTAGTCAGTTATTTTCAAATCAATTATTGAGGCATTTTGTACATTTATTGGATCAATAAAAATACATCTTTTCCCTCAAACACACCACCCTTCCACTCAGTGATAACCTCCAAGATCTGAACAAGAAATGCAAAAGAAAATCAAGCAACTGTTTAACAGCTTAAAACTTGAGAAAGCAGAGAAAATGTGAAGTCAGCCTCCATCCTGTGAGCAGTCTGGAAAACCTCATTTCCTAAAAGCCCTGACATTCTGGGAGATGCTGAGAACACAAAGACAACAAAAACATTCAACACATTCCAGGAAGTTTCATGTACTCACTCTGTTCTCCAGTGCCAAAACTGGACTGCTGAGACTCCTGGGGGAATAAAACATCACAAGGGGGTTTATTTCAGTGGGAATTCAAGGTACTAAAAACCAGACTGTAGGGAAGGTATTATTTCTACATAATGGATACACAATCTCTGGAAAAGGGGAAAAAACAACAACAAGGAAGAAAAAGGGATTCTTTCTCTGGGCGCTGGGGCACTCCAGGTGAGACCTTCACACTCCTCTTCCTCAGCCACTCCTGCTGTTCCCCAGGGCACATCAGGGCTGAACCCCCAAATCCCTGGGTGCCTTCCCTAAATCCCCTCCTCCTGTGTGTTCAGGATGGAGAGGAACTGTGCAGGATGTTTGTTTATGCTCCTGACACACACACAAACTCTGCTGCTGTTTGAAGTGCCTTCCTTCCAACCCTTTCCTCCTCATTTTCCTTCTCCAGGCACACACAGCAATTGGAACAGGGAAAATATCTCAACAACAAATATTCCTCAGCCACAGAGGATCCTTAGGGACAAGGGGAGGTTTCAAACAGGACCAGCTCTGCACTCTCTGCCCCAAAGGGTCAGAGTGGGTCCCTGGCAAGCCCAGCCTGGGTGGGCAGCCCAGCATTCCAGCCCAGAACAGCCAGCTCTGGGAGAAAAACAATGAAATGGTTATTTTAGAGGCACAGGATGGGCTGGAAGGAACCTCAAAGCCCACCCAGTGCCACCCCTGCCATGGTAGGGACACCTCCCACTGTCCCAGGTGCTCCAACCTGGCCTTGGGCACTGCCAGGGCTGCCCACCCTGCCAGGGAACAATTCCTCATTCCCAATATCCTAGAACACCAGCCAAAGAGGAAACCTTGCAGATTTCAGCACTTTTATCATCCTCAGTATTCCCATTTCAGCAACTCCAATTCTGACACAGCAGATGATGAACTTTACTGAAATCCCAACCCTTGTTTTAACAAATACACAGAGGCCACTGAGCCACTGCAAACTCCCTTCCAGGCTCAAGTGCCTTTTTAAAATAGGACCTTCCTGACCTCATTTCAAAATGAGGACAACTGAAGGCCCCAGAAAAATAAATGGAGTCCAATATTTGCAATTTCCAGTTGTACACACACGTTTTACTTACATGCTCTGGCAATGGCAAACCAGAACCACAATTCAACAATGAATTCCATTTTTCCTGGTCCACCTGTGACCTGGTTTTCCCTCACACCAAGCCAGTGCCAGGCAGTGGTTCCAGAGGCAATTTACAGAATGAAGTTTTTAAACACACAAAAGCTTTACACAGCAAAGCACCCTTGAGATGTTTCCAATTTCCCTCAGCTTTGTATTTGAAAAAGAGAACAATGCATTGAACAAGAATTTTGTGGATGGAGAACATGCTAAGGAGCTTTCCTTGGGAGGTGTTCCCAATACCTCTGATCTTTACTAACTGAAAGGAAGGGACAATAAAAACAATATTAAGAAAGAATTCAAGAGCAAAGTGAAGATGGAGAGAAGCCTTGTGAACAGCCACACTCCCTTCAAAATAAATCCATTTCTTATCATTTCACAGGTGGGAAGAGGCAGGTGGGAATCCCTGGTTTCCTTTTGCCACTGGCAGCTCAGCCAAGCCCACAAACTGAGTGAGAAAAGAAATAAAGACCTCAAACTCTACATTTCCAAAGCCACAGCACTGGGGAGCACAGGATGGGGAACTGGCACCCTCACAGCAGCACATGGATGGGGAATTGTGCAGAGCACACCTGCCTAATTCCCCACTTGAGTCAACTTCCTATTTCAGAGGCTCAGCACTGGCTCTCAGCTAAGTGCACTTTAATGAGGTGTTATGGTTCAATGTGCAACTTTTTCCAACTCCCTTGCCATCTACTGGATACATACTTCTTTAAGAAACTCAGAGACTTAAAAAAGAAAAAAAGCTCTACATTCAACTCCCAGGTTATTGAGAGCAGCAGCTTCCAAAACTCTGCTTCAGAAAGAAATTGCAACAACTGAAAGGAAGGAAAGCCTTTAAAGCACAGCAGAACGGACTGAGGTTCCACAGGGAAGAGACTGGAGCAGGAAACAAGAACTCTGGAGAGAGGAATTCTCCAGCTGGACAGGAGGCAGCAGGGCCGGGGGGACACTCCCAGGTGACACTGGAAGCCCAGGTGCCATCTCCTGTGTGTCCCAGCAGGCTCCTGCAGAGGGACAGGCACAGCCCAGCCCTCCCTCCCAGCCAGCAGCTGGGCTGCTCAATGCACTGCAGAAACACTGCCAGCATTGCTGGAGTGCCTGACTGTGAGCCCACGGATAAAATTATAGAGTGTTAGGTCACAGGATAACATTTTTTTATCAAGACACAGCAATCTGCATTTTTCCATAGCATCCATAAAACTTTCCCTGACCTATTTTCATGGAGTTTTCTCTTCTGATGCAAGACTTCCTGGGAACTATTGGATATATTTATAGCAATCAGAGAGGCCCCAGTCAGGAGGTTGGGTTCCTTCGAGTTACTCACTCCCTACACACAGGGAAAGTGATCCCATCCCAAGAGTCTGACAAATAAAATCAAGTGGTCCACCAAGGGCAGCTCCATTTAATGTGAGCAGGAAGAACACAGCAGGCTCTGCCCCCAGGGGCAATGCTCAGAAACACCTCAGCAATAAATGGAGCACAGTACTAAAGGGAAGGAGCTTTCCTCCAACAGAACTGCTCGATTGAAGCAAACCACTGTTGTGTTTTGTTTGGTGGATTCTGCTCTGGGCCCAGACTGCACAGGCCCATGGCTCACTAACTCCCTGGAATTCTGCAGAGCTGCTGCTGCCAAGAATGACAGAGGGGAGAAGGCAGAGGAAATTATAGGCTTTGGATGCAGAGAGAGAGTTTGACAGAGTTCCATGGCTAAGATGTGCAGCCACAAAATAAAAAAGCTGGCAAAAAGTCAACAAGACTCAGAGCAGCCATAAATGGAATTTTCTGCAAACTGGGTGAAGAGACACAATCCAGGTTGAGAGGTTGAAAAAGCTCCTTTTTGTTCAGGCCTTGCCAGAGCTGTGCAGTGTTACATGGCCTCTGGGTCACAGCCCCAGGGATTTCTGCACACCTTCCTCTTCCCAAACCCAGGCAAATGCTGGGGAAACTAAAACCAAGCAGCCCCACAGCCAAGGGTGCTCAAAAGCAAAGGGAAAATATCTCCCCAAAGGTTCAGGAATGAGTACTCAAAGCAGAGGAATAAGGACCTTGGATGATGAGGAAAGGGGTGGAATTTCCTTGCAAGAAAAGGTATGAATTATTTCCAGGCTGACAGTTTTACACAGCACACAAATAAACCCTGACTGAAAGTAATATTTGCAAGATTAATATTGATCTAATGCTAGGAAAACAGAAAACAGGATTTATTTCTAGGTATGCCTTCCAAAGTAAAGCTGAGAACTGAATGGTAAATTCTGCATTTTTTGATACTGAAGCAAAAAGCAGTGACCAGGGACAGGTCACAGAGAGGTGGGGACAGCAGGACTGCCCCTGCTCTGGGATATTCAGGATGAGAACCTGAGCCTGGAGCAGTCTGGGGAGGTTTGTGGATGTGCCTTTTCAACAGGGACTGGAACCTCTGGCTGAGGGAAGGTCATGTCAAGGCAATCACATAAAAGGATGGGATTAGAGAGATGACAGTAGAAACTCCAGTGAGAAACTCTTCTCAAAATTATTCCCTCAGATGTTCTGTTTTGGGGAGCAATTTGGATCAAACAGGAAATTAAGAGCAATTAAGTGGTGTCTAGAACAGCAGCTGGTCAGAGAGAGCAAGGTCTGAATTATTTCATAGGTAACTTTTAAAAGACAAACAGGGCAATTTCTTCACTCTGAAGCTCTGCCAAGGTAGGGGTGGAGCACCCCAATTCAGCCCAGAGAGATGTTGAGTCTGGAGAAAAATCACGTTGTGGAGCTGAATCTTTTGCTGGGAATCAGCAGCCTGAGGAAGCAGAGCGTGGATTCCTGTGTGAGTCAGCTCCCCACGCTGCCTTTGCCCACAGCTGCCTCCCCTGGCCCTCCAGGATCCTGCAGAGCTGCTCTTCCAGGCAAACCTGGAGCTGCCAGGCCCAGCCCAGGGGAGGCAGCAGCAAATTCCCTGCTCAGAGGTGTCAGCCCCAGCAGCTCCCCTGGACACGTGCCCCGAGCTCTCAGCAGCAGCAGAGGTGGATTTCTCGCTGGAATTAACTGCTTAAACCCTTCAGCACTTCTTAACAACACAGGAGGTTGGGAAGAGGATCTTTTGGAACAACTGAGTTCTTCGGTAAAACACGTGACTCATAATAAACTGTCTAAATTTTTTGTAATTGAAAATGCAAGAAAATCTCACACAACTATTAGTGGACTTCAAACTAAGAGGAAAATTCAATTTATGCAGAAAAGCCCATTTAAATTTCTCAGCATTTACCATTCAGTCTCTGTTTTGTTACATGGAAGGAAACTCACTTGGTTCTACACAAAATGGTGCAGAACATTTCCCTGTTAGGGAAAGGGCTCAAAGGCTTTTTTTTCCAAGCTTCCAAAGTTTGAAAGTTTGAATTAATCCAACAAAAATTAAAAAGGTAAGTTGTATCACAGATAACTTTACAGACTGCCTGTGCAAAGCAGAGGAAAACCAAGGACATTTTTCATAAGGCTGCTGCTGACAGATGAGGTGAAGATAAATAAAGAGGGACAAAGCACTGAAACAAGCCCAGATAATACAGAACTGAATGCAGCAGTTCCAAAATCCTGATCTTTAACTGAAGTTACTTCTTCAACAGCATTCACTGTTGGATTCAGCACTGACCTTGGTTGGAAAGGGGAATTTGGAGGGTTCAGTTTTGCAGGGGGTGTGGATGGCAGTCAGTGGAGGAGGCCAGGAGTGGGTCATCTCCTGAAACACAACAAAAAATCAAAGTTATTAACAAAATAAATCAGGTTTCAACTTGCAATCTGCATTCTCTCAATTTCAGTTCATTGTTCACCCTTCACTAAGCTTTATATTCAAATCTTAATTTCCCAAATGTGCAACAAAGCTTTTGCATGCAAACCTGAATGTAAATTGCTAGTCAGGAGAAGAGAGAGTTATGACATAATAACAAGCAGCAGGGCATAAATCAATCAACTGGGCTGGCCTGAAGATAAACTGCAGTTCAAGGCAGAGTGTGACCCTTTCAGAGTGTGTGGGAAGAAGAATCCTAGGAAAGGGAAGCCTGTAGAATTTGAGGAAAAAGGGGAAATCAAATGCCTGCAGCTGGAAAGGGCCTCCTGTGCTCTCAGAGCATCCCCAAGGCCCCTGGAGGACTGAAGGCCACAGGAAATAATAAGCCATGAAATGCTCCAGAGGGATCTGATGATGCTTTTGTGAGAGCAGACACAGGACAGGGCACCACAGGAGGGTAAAAGGACTTGGGAAAAGGACTCAGGTATGAGAGAGGCAAAGTGCTGCCATGGGGCAGCAAAGCACTTACTAGAATCTAAACTATCAGGACTAAGAACTGTAATTTGGTGGAAGAGATGCAGTTCTGGTAAGCAGGGAGGAGGAATGCAGTGGGGATCTCCAGGGGATGATGTGCACACCACAACACCCAGGGCCAGCTCTGCTCCCAGCCTGGCCCAGTCCCCTGTGCTGGAGGAGCCCCCTGTGCCAGCTGCACCTGGACAGGCTCTGGCACTGCAGAGTCCTTCCCCCTCCTTGGGAATGGCTGCACTCCCAACAAAGCAGGAACAAGAACACCAAGAACTTACTTTGAGGATTTCATCCACGCAGCTCACCTCACCAGAAGCTGATGCCTAAAAATCAAAACCCAAAATTAACATCTCCCAGATTTTCCAGGGACTAGAAACAGTTAAAAACAAACTTCAATCCTTATTGTGACTCATGTGGACTCTACATAGACACAAACAGCCCTTACTAACTCTTTTCATCAGTTTTAACATCAGATAGATCCATGTTTTTATGGCATGAGTCACAGCTATGAAAAGCAAATACATGACATCCATAAAACTGTGATAATAATCTCTCACTTTTCACTTGACAGTTGAAGTGATCATAGGCAGGCAGGGATATTAAAAACTTGTAGAGAGGGGAAACAGAACCACAGCTTTCAGTCATTTCCTGGAAGCAGCCCCAGGATAATATCTGAATTCAAGTGCAGGACCGTGAATGCACAGGAATGACAAAGTGCATTCCCAAGTAGAACACTCATCACAGAGAGATCCCAGAAACAGCAATAATTACCAAACTATGAATCCTCTGCATCCCTGGCTGCCACAAGCACAAAGAAGCGAAGCTACTTAAGGACTCACTGCATCAGCACTGATGTGGCAGGTCTTCACAAAATAAGTAATTCCTGATTTCCTTACCTGTGTGCTGGATCTTACTTTGCTATCTGCTGCAATCCCAGGAACAAGGGCTTTTCTCTGGCTACCATGATTCCAGCAGTTGGACAGGAGATGAAATGAGACTTTATTACCAGCAAAGGCACTCTCCTTGTAAGTGAGCTGGAGTCAGAGTCTGTGTCCTAATGGTTTGGGAATTACCAAACTCCTCCAAGTTGTTAACCCAATAGTATTTCATATCCAGCACAACTGATAAAAGTTCTGCACCCTGTTCAATGTGGTGTGAAGGTATAATAATCACACCTAGTAATTGCTACTCACTTCAAAAGAAAATCTGATACAAGCATATTGTATCAACAACTCTAAGTCAATTCACCCAGGAACAACAATGTATTTACCCAGCTTGTCAAAATATTTGTGGATGTCCTACAATTTCCCTAACTCCTGACTAGAGAAATACTCTGTGAAAATTGGCCTCTGGGGGTTAAGTAAGCCTTTCTGAGTGTCTCAGAATAAAAATAATAAAAAACCCAGTATCCACGCTGAAGAAGCAGAAGACAAAAACAATTACTTTTGCATGCTCCCCACTGAAAATACAGCTTAGGTGAAAGCGCTTTGAGTAGCAAAAACACAGTGTTTACTGAAAACTCCATTTGGGTTAGGCAAATTGGGACTTTGGAGACGCTGGAAAATCCCAGCCCGGGTGGATTTATATTCAAGCAGGCAGGACAGAGCCAGAACTTACATCCAGTGGCTGAGAGGGAATTTTCAGCTTGGTCAGGTGCGCCTTGCTGCTGGGTTTGAGCTCGTTGACGCCGCCGCCGTGGCTCTGGCTGCTGTAGTGTTCCGAGGGAAGCTTTGGCTCCATGGACTCCTGCCCGTCCATCGGCCTCACGTAGGCAGTGGGTTTCTGTAACATCGAGCTGGACTTGGACATCAGCGAGGGGGGGAAGGACTGGGTCGAGTGCTGCCCGCTGGCGAACGAGGGCACGCGCGAGGGA